GCGCGCTCTTCCGAGAGGCTGGCACGCAGGAGGCCTGCGGAGGGCGCGCACGGGCCTGGTGAGGGTCCCCCCTGCCCCTAGCTGCCTGTCTTGTCCTTTTACCTTTGCAGAGCTGGGAATGGAACCCAAGGTCTCCTGCGTGGGAGGCCAGCGCTCACCCCCGAGCACGGGGACCCCCGGCAGTTCTGGGATTTAACTCAGGGCGCTCTTCCGAGAGGCTGGCACGCAGGAGGCCTGCGGAGGGCGCGCACGGGCCTGGTGAGGGTCCCCCCTGCCCCTAGCTGCCTGTCTTGTCCTTTTACCTTTGCAGAGCTGGGAATGGAACCCAAGGTCTCCTGCGTGGGAGGCCAGCGCTCACCCCCGAGCACGGGGACCCCCGGCAGTTCTGGGATTTAACTCAGGGCCTTCACATTAATCTACACCCCAACTCTCTGTCGTTTTTGAGACAGGCTCCCGCTAAGTGGCCCTGCTGGCTTCAGATGTACAATCCTCCTGCCTCAGCCTCCCAAGCAGCCGGGATGACAAGCTTTGCCCCGCTCCCACTGTACCCTATGAAGCCCATCAATCTGCATATCTGGGCATGGGTACACAGCCTCTGCCTGGCTTCCTGGCACTAGTCCATCTGCCTCGGAGCTCTCTGGGCCTGTGCCCCTCTCTGGGGCTCCGTCTCCTGGAGTCCATCTTTCCGGCACCACCCATCGAAGAGGCCGAAGGCCCTGCCCTCCTAAAGCTCTGATGGAAGCCATTCCCACACAATCCCTTGGGCACAGGTGGCGCAGGACAAAAGACCCTCCAGGCCCAGGGCTGAAGTCCCGAGTCTGCTCTCCTGGACCTACCTGTACAGTCCCCTAAGCCTGAGGTGCTGGCACCGGACACATCCTGCTCAAAGGCGGCTCTACATGGAGGGAAGGGGGGACAGGGGGTCAGCCGAGCCTCTCAAGCAGCAGGGGCAGGAGCAGGGTGCAGATGGCCCCTCCCCACTTCCCTACCTGGTTCCTGGGCTCAGGAAGATGCAGGAGCCGTCAGGGGCCCAGCCACAGTAGGGATCCTGGCTGCCGATGCAGTTCCTGTAAGGGACCAGGGGACCGTCACTCCGTGGCCAGGACCTGCCTCACCGCCGGGCTGCTCGCTCCCCACCTCACAGGTAAGGAAACTGAGGCTCAGGAGCCCTGCTTTGGCCCAGGCAGCAGAGCTGGGATGTCGCCCCGGCAGGGTCATGGATGCAGGACGCCAGGGTCGTGACTGCAACCATGTCGGTGGCAGCTCTGTGCCGAGAGCTCACGCTGCACCCAGAGGGGCCGAGTGCGTGGCATCTGAATTTCCTCTCACTTGGAGACCAGGAAACAGGTTCTACCCTAATCCCTCACACTTTCTGAGGCCCACGCTGCCCAAGTCTATGTACTCTTTCAGCAGCCACCAGAGGGCGCCTGTGAGCACGTAGTTAGGTCATTCTCTCTGCCCTCTGAACTAAGAGGGTCCCACCTCAATGGAGTCAAAGTCCAAGTCTTCCACGCAGCTCACAGGGCCCTGAATAGCCACCCATACCTCCCTTACCCTCTGCTCCTGCTCTGCACCTCAGTCCCTCTGCCCCAGCCACATGGGCTCTGTACTGCCCCAGGGCCTTTGCATAGACCCAGTCTATCAAGGAATCAGGGTACTGTCCTCCCTTCTCCCCATGCTCATCCCCTCTGTCCCTGCTCATACTCGACCTGGGTGGGGGGTCTTACTTCATGCATCCCGAGTACTGCTGGCAGCGGGCCACAGGCACTCGGACCACGCATCGGGGGAAGGCTGCTAGCAGGCCACCCGAGGCCGCGTCCAGCTCCAGGCTCAGCAGCCGCTGCCCTGTCTCGCCGCCACCACCAGGTCGTCCACACCTGGGGCAAGGAAAGTGTCCGAGCAGACTCAGGGCGACCGATCCGTGACTCTGCCCCCCAGTCCTTCCTCCGCGCCATCTCAAGTCACCTGTCAGGTCGGTAGGTCTCAAACTCCTCCAGGAAAACGCTGGGCCCAGAGGTGCCTGTGACGCTGGCGTTGGGCCTGACGAGGAACTTGAGCACAGTGCCCACCTCAGAGCCCAGGAAGACCACGGTCTGGTTGCCCCAGGGGCCGGCGCCC